TTGAATTCCTTGCAGATCTTGAGTTTTAAGATTTTCTTTGTTTTTAATGTTTTTCAGATAATGTGATGTTGGAAATAGATTAAATGTGTGATGTATGAAAATGAATAAGATATGTATAATAATATTTCTCTTTTTACAGTTAACTCTTATAGTTGATGATCAATTCATTATCTCTTTTCTTTTCTTACACTTTTTCTTTATCTACTAGTCACTACTCTTACATGATCTCTATATAATACAGTATTCAGTGACTAGATTCAGCAGCTTTCATCTTTATGATTCTGTCTCATATATTATACTGTCTCTCTTCACCTGCTCAGATCACTACAGTGAACAGCTTATTAAAACTAACCTCATCTAATCTCTGAGCATTTTCAGGAATTGAGATGACTTGATCTCACATGTCTGCAGATGTTTCAGATAGTTCATTCTCTATAATCTCTGTGATTGAACTGATGTAAACAGTTAAATTCAACTCTGAATTTCTTTTTCTTCTGCAATCTGATTCACATGCAAGTCTGCTGCTTTGAGAGCCCTCTTTGTCACATTATACTTACTGTCTGCAGTACATTATCATACAATCAGCTACAGTCTTATCACTTATTGAAGTGTGATGTTCATCTGATTTCTTCATTTCTTCTCATTCTTTTCTTATAATTGTGAAAAGATTGAAATAAGTGAGATTATCTGATTCATAAGTGTCTATGATTTCTCTTACTTTGTAAGACTTTTCAATTATAAGTTTCTTCTTTTTCAACACTGATAATAGTGCTGTGAATGATTATAATCTGCTCAGATCTTGCATCTTTGCTTTTATAAGTTATAAATTATTAATTAAGTTGTATAAGATCTGTCTCTCTGATTCTTTCAATGTGTACATTCTCAGAGAATGTGATTTGAGTATCTTATATAACTCAAATTATCTAGATTAAAACTTCTCAGAACTCTCATTATATACAAGAACTCACATTCTCATCTTGAGACTCAATTTCTTAATAAGTGAGTCTCATATTCTTTTTGATTGAATTGCTCAGTTCAGGAGTAACTTGTTAGCTTTTATATGTGCATGACTGATCTCTTTCAATCTTGGTTCTGTGTCTGCAACTGTTATATCTGTGACTGTTGCATCTGCAGCTGCTGTTTCCTCTCTCACCTTTTTCAAAGCATTCTTCAGGATGTGCAGATGCAATTCATACAACAGGTAGAATGATAAATGCTTGAAGACTGCATACTGTTGAATCTGTGTGATCAATAGTGCCTGCCTGAGATATTCATCTCATAGTCTCATAGGCTTGCTCACTAAATATTTCATCAGCATGTTGCTCAAGATTTCATTCAAGTGTTTTATCTTTCTATTCATTCACAGATGATATAACATTGTTCTACAATGTCTTGTCTGTAACTGACTTATGAAATGTCTCACTACTTCTTCTACAAGGTTTGCACTGTTATCAGTTAGAATCTCATACAGTATTCCATAGTTGATATAGATCTCATTATATAGAAACTTCATCATCATCTTCTCTATCATCTCGGAAACTGCTTTCATAACTGGCCAGTCAGTAGCATAATTAATAGCAGTGATTATTCATCAATTTTCATTTGATATTCATGACAATATGTCTATAAGATTCACTTCTCATTGTTTAAACAGTTGTATTATACACTTTATCTGATATTATACTTTCTCACATTCTAACTCTTTCTTAGATTCTTTCATGACCTGATAATTTGAGCACTCATGAGCATATATCTGAATGTTCTCAGTCATGCTTGGTCAGTATGCTCTTGATTTGAGTATACTCATAAGTTCAGAGCTTTCTAAGTGACTGAATTCCTTATGCATATAAGTCACTAAGTCATGTCTAAATGAAGATTCTAGATAGAGAGCTTCTATGTATTCTAGATCACAGTAAAGCACAACATCATTTTTCAATTTCCTCAGCTTGAAGTTCAAAAGTATCTCTTCTACTACTTTTATGAGATGCTTGTTATCTGACATCTTATCATTCTTCAAGTGAGAGATCATGATATTCACTCATTCTGATTCCTTGCATTCTCTCAGTGTGTTTAACATGACCATTTCTTATACCTGATTTACAGAACTCTCACTCATGAAATCAGGTCTGTGACTGATTATATCAGATATTACAGCATCTGATTTCTTTCAGTATTTAATATGAAGATTGTATGCTTAGAACTCTGAGATTCAATGTACTAAGTATTTGAAAGGTTTTATTATCAATTATAGATAGATAAGACTTTCATGATCTGTGATCACTGTTGTTGTATGTCTGTTATCAATATATCTATTTCATAACATCAGTGCATGCTTGATTGCTAGTAATTTCTTTTCATACACTGAGTAATTGAGCTCAGCATCTGATAGTTTTCTATCATTATATGTCATCAGATACAGCTTACTGTTCTTACTCATCTGTAGAAGAGTGTCTCTGATAGCTTATTTGAATACATCTATCTCAATGTAGAAAGATTTATCACAATCTGATTGAATAAGCACTGAGAATGTTATTACATATTTTCTCAGTGTGAGAAAAGCCTCTTCACACGCGGTATTTCAGATAATTGAATAAAACTTCTTCTTTCACAGATTTGTATCTGTTTCTCTTAAGAGATCTGAGAGTGATGCAGATATTCATGTGAAATCCTTGATGAATCTGCAGTAGTATGAGACTAACTCAAGAAACTGTTATACATAATGTACATTTTTCAGCTGCAGTTAATTCACTATAACATTCAATTTCTTCAGAATGAGGGATATACAGTCATCACTTACTACATATTCTACAAACTTCAACTCTTCTGTTTCAAACACACACTTGATTGATTTGATATAGAGCTTATGCTCTGTCAGAGTTATAAGCACTTCATCAAGATACTTCAGATATTCATTATATAAGTTTGAAAAGACTAGAATGTCATCAAGGTATATGAGACATGAGGTTTCATTCTGTTTATAAAGAATTATATTCATCATCATTTGAAAGATAGTGAACATATTTATCAGATTAAATGACATTATCAGGAATTCAAACTTCTCTCATTGTATATTAAATATGATTTGTGAGACTGACAGTTTATCTACACAGATCTATCAGTATTCTGAGAGAAGATTGATCTTTGATAGATATCAGGTGATTTTAACTGTATTCAACTGTTGTTGAATTCATAACAGTGAATATTCATTCTTGATTGTAAGCTTATTGAGTGTTTGATAATTGATACACATTTGTCACTTCTCACTCATCTTTTTCATAAATAGGACTGAAAAGCCTCACATGCTTGATGAGAGTTATATGAGATCACATTCTAGAAGATCAGTGATCTGATGCTTCTGTTCTTTGAGATGTGTCTGTGACAGGAGGTACACATTCTGATTGACTGATTTTATGTCTCTCATATCAATCTCATGTACAAATCCTCATTCTGGCAGCAATTCTGATGAAAGATCTGTTCAGAAGACCTTCTCATGCTTCTTCAGAAGCTTCTTCATACACTTATTCTCTCACATATCTTTTATCTTGATTTTCTCCACTTCCGGGTTCTGTATGATATACAGAATGCTTTCAGATGAGATCTTGCAAATCATTCTCTTTGCTTGTTGATATGTAAGCAGATTTAATCCTTCTATATCAGAGATGTGAAATGTCCTTCTCATATCAGTTGATAGAATTGTATGAATCATTTTCTTCCTATCAGTCAACTGTATATAGCATGTATGCCATTGAATCTGTGAATTGAATCTTTGAAATCAATCAAGTTCAAGAATAAGGTCATATTTCACATTCTGCAGCTCTCACACTCAAATATAGCAAGATCATTCTTCAAAGTGCAAGAGAACTCTTACTCTTACAGATGATATTAAATATCAGTTATCAGATAATCTTATATATCAGAGATTCTTCACTCAGCAGATCTCTTTCAATCTTCAAATCATATAATCATCAATATATTATGTAGAAGCTTCTGTGTTCACTAACACTTTTGCAGTCATCTTTCAATTCTTACTCAAGTACCCTCTATACATTAACATTTCAGGTCTCAAGATATTGAGATGAGTGTTCACTTCATCATTCTTGTCTGCATCTCATTCAGAAGTCTGCTTCTTCTTTATATTCACAGAATTCAGAGAATCATCTAATATGAGCATCTCTTTCACTTTGAAGACTTTTCATAGAATATCAGTGAGTGTCTTCAAGCTCACTGATCCTGCTAGTTTTTTAACTCTCTTACTTCTCTTGACTGTGCACACTGAGTGCAATCTTTTGTATCATGATTTTGATATCTACAGTTGAAGTAAGCTCAATACTCATAATATCAAGATTTTCACTTAGAAGATCTCTTTTTCAGAGAATTCAGTGCTTTAGTAATAATATTCAGATCTAGATTTATTGCATTCAGATATATGACTTATATCATAGAAGTCTGATTACTCATTCTTCACTGAGACATACTCAATTGCAGTATTTTCTGTCATAATTAACTCACTTATTCTCATATAATAAGAATGTTGTATGCTTCTTTTATTATATCTGATTACAAGGTTAAGCATTTTCATTTCACTCTCAACTCAGATGTAAGATCATATGATAAATGAAGATCTGTAAACAGAATAGTATTGAAAGCTCTTCATTTAACATGAGATAGTATAAGCTGAAGTGTGTGAAGTATGATGTAAGATCACTCACTTATCTACACTCAGTGAAGTGTTTGTAATACTTGTCTCATATATTCACTTTCTCAAAGTTATGCAAGATTCATTTGAAAAACTTATTTTATGTTTGTAGAAATGAATATCACTTCAGATCTGTGAGATTCATCTTTTCATCAGTCATTTATAATGACTTCACTTTTTCATATAGAAATGCAGCAGATTTTAAGACTTGTTGAAATTCTGTTAACTATCTGTCTGTAAGTTCATATTTAATTCAATAATATAATTACATCTGATTTAGCCAGCTGATTGCAGCATCATTTTTTCAGTCACTATTAAAGCTTAGTGACTCTGACAGATCTCTCAGTTTGATATATTTCATGCTCAGATTCTTATTCTGTGCAGTGATCTCTGATGATGTGTACACTTCTGAAGAGATTATGAACAATTGTGATGAAATCTTCAGATTCAGTGTAGTTGTCTGTCTGTGTAAATGTTCAATCTTCTGCTGCAGGCCTAAGATCTGGTTTTCTCTATTCTTATTGATGATGATGATTGTGTCAGCAAAGCTCTTCATAGTGAATGCTTGATTCACAGTGAATGTCAATTGTTGTTTGACTTTCATCTCAGCCTGTCACTGTGTACACAAGACCTCAATCTTGTTTAGAATTCTCATATGTGTACAGAGCTTTGATTCTGATTCAGCAGTTTCAGCTGTTTTTCTTACTGCTTCAAGTAAACCCTCTAAGAGGTTCTGCATATCTTTCAGTTCAGATAGCAGAGAAGAGTGTTGTTCATATTAACTAGAGAAGATATTCATTTCAGTGATTTTCTTATTGATTGTACAATGTCTATTATTATATTACTATATCACTGTATTATTATATCACTATATCATTCTATCACTATATTGTTATATGATTTCTGTTATCATTGTACAACTTCAGTGATGGCCACTCTCTCTTTTATTTCTTTGAATGAAGAGCAGTCTTCTTTGAATCTGATTCATCACTCTCATTCCTTTTCTCACATCTCATCTATTCGCATACATGGCATTTGCCTGGGTGTGAAGTTTTTCCTCAACAAGTGAAGCAGCATCAATCAGATGCTCTTTCACTCACTGCTCTTCATATACTATCTTTTGAGATGTTCTAGAATCACACTGACATGATAACTATGAATCACTTCATAGATAGAATTATCATGTCCTGGAGAAGCCTGCACTTCTCACTGGTTTTTAGACATGCTATCAGATGTGATTCAAAGATTGCTTAAGCCAGTGTACAATTACAGGCGTATGCTGGCTTCTTATATATTGTAATATCATACACTAATTTAATTAGCAGCTGCTATGGCCCCTTTACACTTGTACGCGTACGCTAGTAGTTCGGAAGCGGCCGCGTTATTATCCGACGGTCGTATGTTCTTCCGAACCACACTTGTAGAGTAGCAGTATTACAGTGCAGTCTCTCTCTGTAAGTAAGTATTTTCATCAGAGAAGCAACAGATTCAGATATCAGTTTCAAGACTCTTAAGAAGACTGTTACTGACTCTGTTCATGACTTCTCAAATTTCTATTTTGATTTATTCAGATAGTTTGTATGAAGATGTTCTGATTTAGAATTAATAAAGCAGAGTCTCTTTTTCTTAATCTCTCTATTATACACTCTATTCACAGAAGCTTGTGAAGCTCTCTCTCTCTACTCAGCAGTCAGATACAAATCTCTCTGTATCTTATCATCTTTTTCTAATAAATCTGTTCTCTGTTGTTCTGACTCTTACAGAGCTGATTAATGATTCACTCTCTGTATATCTGTGACTCACACAGTGATCTGTAAGCAGTGAATAAGAGTTATCAGTTTCTTCAGAGTCAAGAACTTAGAGTCTTACTTAATAAGCTTGTTCTACATGTCTTTATTCAGTCTCTTTATAAATATCATTATTCAGGTCTTGTTTCAGAGCTCTGTTTTCACAGATCTCAGTTTATATTACAATTTCATGAAGCACTGTAAGTACTCTTCATCAGATTTCTTATCTCTTTTTCTAATATTAATGATTGCAGCTCAGATGATCTCTGTCTGACTTATAAAGTCTCTTAACTTATTCTCTAGATAGGTCTTGAGAACAGATCAGTGAGATCTCTTATAATCATTCTATAAATAATTCAGTCAGTTCTTGACTTCAGTGTAATAGAGGTCTGTTATTACATAGATAACAGCTTCTTCATCTTTTATATTACATAGTCAGACTTATGAGTCAATTTCAAATGCAAACTCATAAAAGCTTTTATTGATTGTGATTTAATAAGTGATCTTAAGTGATTACAGCTTAAGAAAGTTTCTTTTCAGTTCATAGATATCTCTGAAGATTATGTCTAGAGACTCAGTTTAAGAGTGTTTGCAGATAGTAAGCATTTCTTGTAGAAAAATAGCTTAGTTTCATAGAAGATACTCTAGAATGTTCTTCACTGAGATTGATTTATTCATGAGTGCAGAGAGTTTCTCTGTCTCAGATGCAGAGAATAATGTCTTATAAGTGATTAATAAGTTCTCTAAGACTTCTTTTATGAAGACTATTCATGATTCAGATAACTGCTTCTGAGTGTCTGCAGTAGAATTTACAGAGATTGAAGTATATAAGTTTCTAGTTCTTTCAGTCATAACAGGCAGTTGCTGACTGACTGAGCTTGAAATGTAAGAATAAGTGCTTACAGATAATTATTCAGGTATTTACAGCTTGACATAATATATACTGTTAACTACTAGAAGTATTCACAGTAGAAAGATAAAATGTAGAAGTTAAATGTATAATAGTATTCAAGCTGAGTTATGAATAGTATTTGTGAACTTCAGTCTATATAGTTGTGTGTAGTCAAGAGCCGCTAGCCCTATTGATTACACGAGAGATAGAAATAGGAGTAAAGAATCCGCGAGAAGCAGGATTTCTTACAGATAAGAATAAATACAATTTGAGTTTCTATTCACATTATTTTGAATAAATGTGATTTTTGAAGAGTTTTTAAACTTTTTTTGTTGTTTTTATTGTATATTCATACTAAAAGAGAGTAGAGTAGAATCTAATCACTATTATCAGATAGTAGATTATAACTATTTTTAAAAGTAGAAATCTCAACTGCTTGTATTATATCTAGTTTATCATCCGAGTCATTTCTCAATTCTCTAATCTTAACAGAAGTTTGTAAATTCAAATTCTGTTTACATTTAGCTGAAGAATTGAAGTTTAAAGATTTAGATAGTTGAGAGTTTCTTCTTTTTGAGCTTGTAGTTGTAAGTTTACTGACTTAACTATTCTCTTCAGTTCTAGATTTGCTTTGAGCTTCATCTTTTATTATTATTATTATTATTCTTCAATTATAGATGTATGCAGTCAGAGACTATGATATCTTCCTGAGAACTTTTAGTTCTCAGGGTTTTTTCTATATCTGTAAAGTTAACTATTATACATTCATCAATTTCAGATATGCAAAATCAGAAAATTCCAGCTCAGAATACAAAAACTGTTTACAAATTGCAGTGTTTTAACATCATCTCATACTTTGAAATCATTTGACAATATCATGACAAAGGAAAAGAGAACACAGTCTTAAAGATAGACACATTAAATAGATAGACAGAAAGAAATTGAAAGAAAAAGATAAAATAAAGAAAGACTGTAACAAAACAAATTATTAAAAGATAGTATATAGCTGTTTTAACAGACTATATCTGATTGATTTCCTCCTCTTCATATTCAGATAATTCTGAATTTAGCCATTTTCTTGTAGCTGCTTGAGTTTCTGATAGAAAGTCTATTAAGTATTTAATTCCTGTCTCAGTTGAGAATAAGAATCTCATATTTAATTGATTTAGATCATACTTCTCTTTCAATCTGACTCTGAGACTATTGTATAATGCACAGTGCATTACAATATACTCAGGATTCTCATTTGTATTACAGAATGAGCATTCTATTGAGTCAAATCTATCATCAAATCTTTGTATATAAGATTTGAAATAGCCATGTCCTAGTTTCAGCTGTATTATAGATGAGAATATTTTCTTTTTACATTTAATTGAACAAGATTTCCACTTGGACTTTGTTTCAAATCTTGAATAATGTATACTCTTCTTTTGTTTCTGCCAGCTTTCATTTCACTTGTCTAAATAAGATTCTTTTATTTTTCTCTTTATAAAAGACCAGGACACAATTTTTTGAATAGATCTGCTTAATTCTGCACCCTTTTTTGCAGCTGAATCAGTCAATTCATTGTCATGAATATTCATATAAGCAGGAACCCAGTGCAGATGAATAATCAGCTTTGATGTTCTTCTCTTTTGAATTTTCAAAACAGAGTTTAAGATCAGTTCAAGATTCATTTGATCATTATGAATCTGACTATTTCTAAGTCTTTTTAAAGCAGCTTGACTATCAGAGAATATTCATGCCTCTTTCAAACAATTTCCTCTTCTATGAGATTTTATTTTAATAAGTTTGAAAGCTTTCACTATTGCAAATAGTTCAGCATCAAAGACTTCACATTCAGAGCCTAGATTCCAGAAATCTGAGATAAAATTGATATTATCTTCAGTATAAGCAATGTCTGTGTCTAATCTATTCAAGTTCTCATTTTTTGAGTCATCTGAATAAATCAGAATAGAGTCTTTTATATTAATTGTAGAAATTCTCTTTGAATGCTGTTCATATTCTTTCTCTTTTGATAGTTCACTTATTTGTAAATCTATAAGAGATTCAAGCTTTTCTCTTCAGAGAGATAACTTCTCATGATCAACTTTTTCAATATTTAAAGAAGAAAATTGATTTTTAATCAGAGAGTATAGTCTGTACAGTTGAGAAGACATTTTCTTTGAAGAATTATTTTCATTTCAATCAAGAAATCTATTTCAATTCAGTTCATTTTCAGAGTTAATTGATGAAAATGAAGAAGAGACTCTTTCTCTGATTATATAATTTGAGCTCATCTTTACAACTCTCAGAGCATAGTTCATACAGGTCTTTTCAAATCTAATAGCAGAAGAAGGAATTGAAGCTTCAATTTTCATTGCTTTAATAGGAGATGATTTGAATGCTTCCAGAATTCTTCTCAAGACTCTGTTTTGCAGACTTTGAAAGAGTTCAGTGAAATTCCCTTGATTATTCTATCAAATTTGAACTTCATAATCAGCTACTGATGTAATACAGGCTATATATAACTGTCTCATAGCCTGGAAGGATAGACCTCTCTCTGTATTTGATAGTCTGATTATGTTGTTCAATAGTCTTTCTGCCTTGACAGTTCTTTGTTGAATGTGATATTTAAAATTCAACTTAGAGTTTAACCATACTTCTAATCATTTGACATTTACACTGGGTTTAATCTCTCTATTTAAAAGAGTTAGAGATAGTTCTTTCTCATTGAATCTAGAAAAGAAATGAATTAACTCAGTTTTATTCATATTAAATTGAATTTGATTGATATCTGCTCTAACAAAGATTTCCTTTACAGCTTCTTCAATTACTTTCAAATTCTCTTTGATAGTTTTTAAGCTGTAGACTAGACCAATATCATTCATATAACTTGAAGATCACACTATTCTCATATTTCTATTTTTAAATAGATATACAGTGTATATTGCAAATAAAATGAGCAAGATTGAAGATCTCTGTGATACTTCTATTTTTATCTCAGTCTTGTCTTATTTCATTCCATTAAAGAAGAGTTGTATACTTCTTTTAGACATAAAACAGTTAACTTATTTTATT